TATTTATGCTAAATTTACATACTGCTTTTCTTCCAAAGAAAGGATACATATTGCATTTTGTTTTTCAAATGCACTTGACTTAAATGTTATTAATAATGTTGTCATTTTTTGTCTTAGATGGAGAGACCTTGCCTCAAATTGTTTCAAGTACTAACGTGGGAGAGAGTCCAGTAATCTTGGTAGATGCATCAGACTTTGAATGTTCTCTTTGTATGAGGTATAGTATAATGAAGTATAAAAATGAAAAATTAAAATATAATCTTGTTAAATTTTGTGCCTAAAAGGAAATGTATTTTATTCTCTAGTACAAAGCTTCTTTATTCTGGGGTTCATGAATTTGTGAGAGTTTTTAATGACTATGTTTCAATACAATTAGATTTGTTTGTCTTTTTTTTTGTAGTTGTATGATTTTGTTTTATTTTTATTTTTATATTACTTTTATTATTTATTTTATTTAAAACCATTATTCTGAGAAAAGGGTACATAGGCTTCACCATACCTCCGGGGCAGGGGGGAGGTCTGTGACACAAAAAGGCTAAAAACCCTGGCTGTAGTAGGTGATTACATAATTATGAGCTACTTCACAAATTTTGTAATTATTAGTAAATTTTGGGAAAATATTTCTCTGGTCTCCTTTCAATAAGAAGATAAAATAAAAATGAAATTGCTCCTGCAGCAGAGCTATAAAAACAAATAGTGATTAAAGTTAATGTGAATAGAAGTTAAGTTGTGAAGTCTTTTCTGAATATTTTCATGCCTTTGTTGAGAATAATACAGACTTTGTTTTCTCCCCTTTATCAGGTTATTTTATGAGCCTGTTACCACGCCATGTGGACATACTTTCTGCCTAAAATGTCTTGAGCGCTGCCTTGACCATACGCCAGATTGTCCGTTGTGCAAAGAGAAGCTTTCTGAAGTAANCTATGAGCCTGTTACCACGCCATGTGGACATACTTTCTGCCTAAAATGTCTCGAGCGCTGCCTTGACCATACGCCAGATTGTCCGTTGTGCAAAGAGAAGCTTTCTGAAGTAAGCATCTTTATACAAGAGGCATGCTATGTTTCTCTCTGGTAGATAATTTCTTCCACACATAGGTAAAAGGTGTGAAGTTTCTCACCACCTCTTGACCTTGTCACTTTTCATTGGGAATGTCTATTGTTTTCTCTCCGACTTTTTTCTCTTTAATTGTACACACATAATTTGAGTGCACACATAATTTATTTTTAGTGTCAAATAATTTAAAGGTACAAAAGACACATACTTGACAAAACAGGTTCAAGTCCCAAATATTTGTAGTGTGTAATCACTTTTCATTTAGTTTGGAACCAAAACCATTAAAACCTAGGTTTCCTTGGGAAATCAGATACTTCCTTATCCTTATTTATAGTGATTATTTGTATCTTGTGGAAATAAATGTAATAACATAGAAATGTACCTCTAACTCATAATTATAATTTATTCTTTTGATTTAAAGTATAGATTCAAATTAGATAAACTTCACTAGACAAAAAGTAAGGAGGCCTGAGTCTCAGGCCCAGCTTTGTCATTAACTTAGGGTTTGATCTTGGACAAGTCATAGCCAGTCAGGATTTGGTTTCTTCCTCTATATCATAAGAATGTACCCCATTTTACCCTACCATTGATTAAATTAGACACTTGATATAAAAGCACCTTGAAAAGTTAAAGTACTAAATAAATGTAAGTCACTAACAGTAATTCTTTATGCAAAATGTAGTGTTCCACTTAAATGAATTTCCCATGAGGTTACGACCAATGCCAGAACATTTTTATTTTAACCATTTTTTGCTGGAAATAATCTATAATATACATTTTCATGCTTTCTAAAACTGTATGCTGAACATATTTTGTTTCCTTGAACACTTATCCATTATGCATATCTGCCATTGTAAAGTAATATAATCAATGGGGATATTGAGGTACGGAGGATTCTCTGTCCCTACATTGAGTGACCTGGGGTTTTGTGCTTTTATATTGATAATTATTCTATATCCTCCCTTGACTGTCAGCTATTACTTTTGTTGTAAGAATGAGCCTGCTTGTAATGTGCTGTTTTGTTGTATGTACCATTATCTGCTATGGAAGGACGTAGATTTTTGTGGCAGTTATTTGTGTCTGTGCATCTTTTGTTTCTAGGCTCACAATAGTGTTACAAATAGCTGGGGTTTCTAGAAGTCAGCTTCACAAAAGTGGGGCATTATTGTACTTATATTGTCAGATATGATAGGGAATGAAGTCTTTTGATTCATAAAAAGATATCATATATGCCATATGTGAGCTACCAATTTTAAGAATTTAAAAATAATAAAATATATAAGCACATAAGGAACATAATTAAATGTCTTTAACTTCCAAGGTACTTTATGGTCTTATAGTGTCCCCAGAGACATTGTTATGCAAATTCAGCTATCAATTGTTATTGTAGATATGCAGATGTCCCGTTTGACAGTATGTAAGTAAATCAGCTTTTATTTTGCTACTCAGTAAAAAATAGCATATAAAACATTTAATAGACATATTACTACTTTTTTGATAGTAATTTTTATGCAGTATTATGACCTGTCATAGTTCATTTTACATCTGGCCTTTGCTACTGAGATTTATAAAACTCCTTAGGAAAAAGTTAAAGTATATAGACAAAGATTTTAAGAGCAATGGTAAAACTGGGGCTGGCCTAAACATACCCAGGTTAAGAGTCTCCTGGAAAGTTGGAGTGTTGCACAAGATTGAGTCCAGAAATATGACACCCCCCCCCAAAAAAAAAATAAAAATAAAAAACTCACTTAACCTAGCTACTCTAGTTTGTGTGCCTGAACTAAGTCTAAGCAAACCAAAATGTTTGGCATTGAGTATAGCATTTCAGTCTTGCCCTGAAAATATATAGTTTGACATATGGAAGAATTTTGTTGAAAATAAATATCATCACATCATATTCCCACATATGGAACTTGTTCAATACTTAGGACCAAGACATGCCATTTTAAATTTATTTGCTTTTCTTTCCGAGTTTTAGTTACAGAATTATGAGGAAGGCTAAAATACTATTTAAATTATAACAAATAAAAGAGGATTCTGGGAAGATGGAGGTGTAGATCAGAAAACTTTTGGCTCTCCAAATTTCCTCCACAATAAAAGAGAATATTGCCTTAAAGCAGCAGAAATAAACACAGAGTAAAAAGCAGTTGTCCTCCTAAGACAATTTGAGAAGACCCCAGGAAAGACCCAACCAGAGGTTTGGCCTGAGTGAAGTGCAAACCCCTCCAGGCCAACTCTGTAGAATCAACAAACAACAAGCCCTGGGGGCAGCTGGGTTGAGAGGCAGCCTCAGCCTTAGAAACTTTTCATCTTGAAGACAGTGTGGGGATCTGATGGCTGAGTAGGGGAAGATTGAAGGACCTTCCACTATCAGAGGGACAGCAAGCACAGCTGTGCTGGCTAGACATGTCCAGGGCTATAGCTGCAGGGAGAAGGAGCTAGCATACATCTGGTGAGTGTAGTAGTGAGGGGCAGGGATCCTGTTGGCTATGGGTACTTGCAAGAGAGCAGAGTCCCTAGTTTTAGGTCTGAGGCAGAGAGGACAGCTGTAGTTTGCAGCTGTCAGTGGGACTTAAGGGAGCAAGTGGAACAGTGTGACTGGGAGCCCTGTTTGTGGCTCAGGAGTGAGCCCAAGGTTGGGCCCTGAGACAGACCTCAGAAAATAACAGTAAGAAGGACCCAAGACTTGAGGTATCATTCCACATACCTTGGGACTACAACTTGATTGCACTCATAGCTGCTAAAAACAAAATTTAAAAAAAACCAAATAAACGTGATTAAGCAAAGGAGAAAGAACCCAACCATAGATAGTTACTATGGGAATAGAGAAGATCTGGGTTCATATTCAGAGGAAGATAATGGAGCTAAAAAAAGCCAGTCCTTTTTCAATGAGAAACATCAAATGGTCCCAAGCACAAAAAATGTTCTTAGAAGAACTTATAGAGGACTTTATAAATCAAATAAGAGAGATCAAGAAAAAAACTAGAAAAAATAATAATAGCAATCCAAGAAAATTAAGAAAAGAAAGTCAGCCAACTGGAAATAGAGAATCAAAAAACTTAAGGAAGAAAATAATTCCTTGAAAACTAGAGTTGGGCAAAGGGAAGGTAATGATATTCTAAGACACCAAGAAATTATAATATAAAATCAAAAGAATGAAAAAATAGAAAGTGGAACATCTCATCAGATAAACAACCAATCTGGAGAACAGATTGAGGAGAAAAATATAAGAATAGTCCAATTACCTGAAAATTACAATTAAAAAAAGAATCTTGATACAATATTACAAGAAATTACCAAGGAAATTTCCCTGAAGTTCTAGAACAAGAAGGCAAAGTAGAATTAGAAAAAATCCACTGATCAACACTTGAAAGAGATCCCAGGACAAAAACTTACAGGAATATCATAGCCAAGTTTCAAAGCTCCCAGGTTAAGGAGAAAATATTGGAAGCAACAACAACAACAACAAAAAAAAAACATTTAAATATCGTGGAGCTACAGTAAGGATTATACAGGATCTAGCAACTACTACATTGAAGAAATGTTCGAATACTATATTCCATAGAGCAAAAGAGCTGGGGTTATGATCAAGGGTAACTTAGCCAGCAAAGTTAAGTATCATTCTGAATGGGGGAAAAAAACATTTAATGAACTCAAGACTTTCAGGTTTTTGTGACAAAAACCCCAGAACTTAAGGGAAAATTTGACATGTAACATCCAGGAGAAATATAAGGTAAACATTAAAGACTGATTATAAAGGACTCAATAAGGTCAAATTATTTACTTGTATATGTGAAAATATTAACAGTACTCTTATGATTGTGATCATTATTTGGGTAGTTTGAAAGAAAGGCATGGGCTGAGTTGAGGATGATGGGGTAATTCTAAAAAAATAAAACTGTGTAGAGAGAGAAAAAGTAGTAATTATCTCATACACATGAGGCATAAAAGGAAAAGTTGATACAGAAGAAGCTAGTAGTAAGGAGAGCAGATAGTGTTGGAACCTTACTCTCATCAGGAATGGATTAAAGAGGAAACTCTGTGTGTGTGTAAAAGTCTTCTAAATTCAGAAAGAAATAAGAGGCAACGGGGTAGGGTTAGGGGAGAGGATAAGGGAAGGGACTCTTGGAGGAAGTGGGTAGGTTAAGGAATAGTAGGGCAAGGGAGCCAGATAGAAGCAAAGCATAAAAGTGAGGAGGGATTGGGTAAATAGGGTGAGTAGAATAGTAAGGAAAAATAGGAAGGAGGAAAATACATAACAAGTAATTGTAGCTTAGAATATGAATGGGACAAATTTACCTATAAAATGGAAATGGATAGCATGTTAAAAATTTGAATTCAACAGTATGTTGCTTTCAGGAAACATTATAAAAATGAGAGATATACACAAAGAT